GTGAGGGCACAGGAGGGAGGCTTGAAGTCACACCTCCAGATAGCCGAGGACCCACTCCAATTAGAGGACGTCAGAGTCCGCCAGACCCATCGCCAAACTAGGGTTTTTAGTGCGTCCACCTGAGACTGCAAACACAATACCTTAATGGCTGTGCTGGCCCTTACACTGTATTCTTTTGTTGTTGCTGTCATTGAAATATTTTGAACAGTAGGAGTCCCACAACATCTTTCTTCCTTATCCAACACATTATATTCCCTCTAAAATGGGGAGCATAGTCAGGGACATACATTTCTCCTAGAGACCTTCTCACTTGATTTGTGAGTTCCAAAGCTAGGCATGCCCACTTTTTCTTCAATGATCTTAGGCCACTTCACTTGTGTGTTTTTTTCCACATAAGGAGTCTAAGCGGTTAGGGTAACGTTAACACTCTCCGGACAGTGCCCCTCGGACCTCTGCTGATACACATTTCCTTTCAGGCAAAGGAGCTCAGATTCCTAGGAGTCACCTAAAAATCCAGAATAAATTAATTTTGCTAACATGTTAACCTCTCCATCTGGAGTTCTAAAAGACTGATGTGGGCTGACACGTAGGATGTTCTACTTAAAAAGTCTAACTCTGGCCTGGCCAATGTGACTCATCGGACCTGCAGGGAAGGGAAGTTGGGGGACCCAGGCCTGCAGGGGAGGGCAGTTAAGGGCAAACAGGCTGGCAGACAGAAGCAGGTAGGGGCAATTAGGAAAGCAGTTGGGAGCCAGCAGTCCTGGATTGTGAGAGGGATGTCCGACTGCCCGTTTAGGCCCAATCTCTATGGGACATAGGGATCCCTCAAGGGGTCCCAGATTGGAGAGGGTGCAGGCTGGGGTGAGGGACACACCCCACCATGCACGAATTTTGTGCAGCGGGCCTTGAGTTTTGGAATAAGATAAAAACTTTTAATTACTTCATCTATCTAAAAATGTGCTGATAATTTAAAAGAAAAGTAATCAAGAGAAAAGCAAAATAATATAAACTGGGATTGAAACACCGTACCCAGGATGTTTGAATGTTGGCTACACCAGAATTCCTAACACACAAGTCAGTAAAGTTACATGGATATTTTGAATAACTGCTAGAAACCAGTGATATACAGGGTGTCCCCAAAACTGTATACACACAATTGAATAATTACAAAGGTAGTGTTTATTAAAACACATTTCATTTTCAAAACTGAGCTATCAGCAGTAAAGTGTATGTACATTTTTTGGGATACCAGTATATTCTTATGCCATAAATTTTATAAATTTATAAAATCATGCAATTTTATTTTCAGATGTTGGATTTTGATGGTGCCTTATTGTGATAAATAGCTAATTGTGATTAAACATACACACACACACACAAACACACACACAACTTGCTCTGGCGGTTTGGCTTAGAGGATGGAGTGTCAGCCTGAGGACTAAGGGGTCCCAGGTTCGATTATGGTCAAGGGCATGTACGTTGGTTGCGGGCACATCCCCAGTGGGAGTTGTGTATGAGGCAGCTGACTGATGTTTTTCTCTCCTTGATGTTTCTAACTAACCCTCTCCCTTTCTCTCTGTAAAAAATCAATAAAATATATTTTTAAAAATGTTTTATTGATTTTTTTTACAGAGAGGAAGGGAGAGGGTTAGTTAGAAACATCAAGGAGAGAAAATCATCGATCAGCTGCCTCACACACACCCCCTACTGGGGATGTGCCCGCAACCAAGGTACATGCCCTAGACTGGAATCAAACCCTGGACCTTTCAGTCCGCAGGCCAACGCTCTGTCCATGGAGCTAAACCAGTTCCAGCAATAAAATATTTTTTTAAAAACCCTAATAACTATAACCTAAAAAAACCTTTTCTAGTTCTAACAATGAAACTGAATAACCAGAAAATGTCAACACCTTTAGGCTTATAAACATAAACATCTGAGATATAAACAAGGCTCTTTAGAACAACACAGCCTGGTTTACCACTGGAGTGAGACAGGTGGAAACTTCCAAAGTCTCTCCTTTTTGAGAGGCGAGTGTTACACTGGCTGCTCCTATTTTCTGATCAAATGAGGCTTTAAGTGCCATACTTGAAGGTTGTTCCTGGTGGTGTTTTAACAACTACCCATCATTTCAAGAGGACAGCTGCAGAGTTATTTTAAAACTGAACTGAATACTTGAGAGTGAGTGAGCAGAGAAGGTGCAGACTGAGACGTATTAAGTTACATGGAAAGGACCGTTAGAGATTCAGTGATTTTGTACACACTTTCCGAATGGCCAATATTTGAAGTAGCTCCCTCCATGTCCTTCTCTCCCAACTGATCAGCACGAGTACTGAGAAGCATTAGTTTGCTGCCACATTTAATACAATCACTACAAAGGTTTTCCTGCCAAGCCCAGGCCATAAAGCTTTCTTTCTTTAAAAAAAAATATATTTTTTTTAATGATTTTTTACAGAGAGGAAGAGAGAGAGATAGTTAGAAACATCAATGAGAGAGAGTCATCGATCAGCTGCCTCTTGCACACCCCCTATTGGGGATGTGCCCACAACCAAGGTACATGCCCTTGACCAGAATCGAACCCGAGACCCTTCAGTCTGCAGGCCAACACTTTATCCACTGAGCCAAACCGGTTTCGGCCATAAAGCTTTCATACTCTGTATGTATTTCCCTCTGAAATTCCACAAGGAGGCTGGTGAGCGTACCAGGACCTACTCAGGAAATGTGTGTTCCATCCAAATGGGCATGTGATCACTTCACCTTGAAAAGCTCAATCAAAATTACACACAGAATTACACTTTCCTTAGTTCTAACTAATCTAAATATGATTTAAGCAGCAGCATCTACACAGATACAGTTTCCAATTGTTCCAAATACCAAGAGTTGAATGAACAGTCCACTTTTCTCACTTTCGAGCATTGTCCTCCACCACTTTTCTCTTCCATCCTTACACTCAATGAGGGTATCTGACCCATCGCATGACCCTGCCAGATGAAAGGGGGCTGTGGTTCTGTAAGAACAGAGCGACACGCACTGCGTGAGTGTTGGAGGTGAAGGCTGAGCTACCAAACTTCACTGGCAGCTGATTAAACAATCGTATCCTACTCCACCAAGCAAACACTCAAACGGGAGTGAAGGATGGGGAATGCAGGCCAATACACATTCTGGGCTCAGCACTGAATCTCCCTTTGTTTTAGAAGTTTGAGTTAGTTATGCTTAAAAATAGTCAACTGATTTTTTTCTTTCTTTCTTAAATTAGTCCAAATTACAAAGATATGCCTTCCTACACCCAAGGAAATTTTCTACAATACGGTTGGTTTGTTTGAATTTATTTTCAACGTGATGTTTAAATAGCACGGCTTTAAAGTGCAAATAGGGGAAGATTCTTTGTCTAAATCATTCGGGGATTTTGCTCTCTCGATGAACAAAGAAGCCTGGGTGTTCCTGTTTTAGAACTAGCTTTGCACAATAAAGATACTGTAATAGAAGTGACCGGATGAAAGGGGAGAGGAAGCAGATACAGGGAATTCTTTCTGAGGTCCTGGGTACTGTCTTTGTTAACTTCTCTTGGCAAGCCTGTAGCCTGGGATGCAGGGGAGAGACGCTCACAGGATCCCCGATGCCTACAGAACAGCCTTAGGTTCCAGGCAGAGTAAGGCAAGGGTCAAGGTCACTGCATGCTGCTGGCTCATTGCTGAGGCCACCTCCTAACAACTAACCCCCAGCAGGGGCAGTCCCCTCAGTCAGAAGCAGGTCTGAATTCCCTGACGCTGGTACACCACTCACTGTACACGTCAGTGCGGTAGAGGTGTGTGAACACGCAGGCACAAACGGGGAAGCCAGCTATGCGGTGGGTTGGGCAGAATTGGAAAGGGCTTCCCTGGACTTTGATTTCACAGAAAAATTGCCTCACTGACTTCAGATGAGCTGCCAGAGTGACCTCAACCCCCAGAATCTGTGAGCAGTAGCCAAGTGAGTCCTGTTTCTTCTCCCTAACATCCTACTGGGGTTCCCTACGTAGAGTGCCTGGAGAGAGTCTAAGATTCCATCCAGAAAATCAATACCTTTAGGAGCACATAGGTAAAATTAATACCCCCACTGCTCGAATGACAGGAAGTCCCCATAAGAGACCTGAAGAGGAGGCTGGTGTTTCAGTTAGCCTAGACCTGCCCTGGTTAGCCAATCCTTCCTAATTCTGGTCACAAGATACCACTGAGGTACGTGTACCACCCTTGCATGCATTTATGGCATCATTCTATCCAAGATGCCTAAGAATTTTTATTTTATTTATTTATTTATTTATTTATTTGTTTGTTTATTTTTTAAGGAAAATCTAACATGCTACATACTTGATTCGCAACATATAACAAAATATAAAATATAACAGTTTGGTTGAAAGATGGCCACATGCAGTAGGATGGGAATAATTATTTTCTCAACCATCTGAGACCTAATCCGCACTCATGCTTCAAAGCAAATCTTTTTAAACAAAACACCATCAACATTGCAAATAATTACTTAGTTTCTATGAGGGTCCTATTTCATTCATTCACCAACATTTTCATATATATAATTGGATGTCAAAATTACCCTGTTAGTCTGATATAACTAGCAAAACCTACATTATTTTTTGGAAATGTACCCAACCTGTGAGTGAATGTCTAGCTTTTGAATTATCATTAGTCAGCTAATGAGAAATAACTGATTTAGCCAATTATGATAGTCATTCTGCCAATTACTTATTAAGAAGAATAGAAATGAAGACGTAAAAGACAGAAGCACAAATTAAGATGATTTATAATAAAAATAAAAAAAGTCACACTTTCTTACCTGAAATATTTTAGTCCCTGGGCTTCTTACTGAATTTGATAATGGTGAGATGGGTCTTTTTAAAGAAATTAAGCAGTCTTCAGTGTTTTTATAGCATTGGTTACTACAGAAAGTATACTTCTTGTACTTCTTGTCTTGAAGGATGAACAAAATAAACAAACTGAAAATACTACAATGAATGATAAATGGTGAAATATTTACAGTACGAAAAACAGCGTAAAAAGGAAGACAAGTTTAAATATTGTTGTGTAAGAAAGTGATGAAAATAATACAAGAATGAGGATGAGTAAAATGATAGGCTGGAACATCTGGGAAGGTAAATGCAGAGACAAAGAGAAGAATTAGTAATAATTTTAAAAACTTAAATTTATATAAACTAATCTAAGTATACATTCAACCTCAGATAAAGGAGAATCCCCCTTATGCCTCTATTGACGGAATCTGAAAGTTTGCTATTAAACACAGTGCATCCTCTCATTCTGAGTCTCTTTTGTTCCCAAAGGCACAGGTGAAAAAACACATGCTCAAAGTACCCAAAAAAAGCTGCAACGGGGAAACTAGAAACCAATGTTTAGATACAGTCAATAGGAGGAAGAAGCCTCAACCTTTAAAGAATTCAACAAGTTTTATCATAGGACTATTTTTTTCTTCCCAGAGCAAAGCAGAGCGACATGCAAGATCAATAAGCAATAAGGTTGCGATGTTTCTAGTTGTGACTAACAGGCAGCGAAATGAATGTCATGCTTCTGTGTATAAACTGGTTTTTTAATTTAAACCTCTGGCATGTCTTAAAAGCCATGCATGCTGTTGTAGTTCCACGGGTTTTCCAATGGATACGGGATCCCAGGCTTGCCATGGGGCTGTGGAGTGTGGGGTCGTGGGGGGGGGGGGGGCGCTGTCTGTTTTGCTTTCTAAATTACCTCTAAGGTGGTTAACTCTGACAAAATGCATTGGTCTTTGGCCACCATACCTGGCTAGAGCAGCTCAGTCCAATTCATCAAGTGTGTCTCTACAAATTAGGATGAAGGAAAAGTGCTGGTTTTCCCTGTTCGGGAACAGTTATTACTATTTTTTTTTTTTTTTGAATGAGTGTTGCCTTAAAGTTAAAAATAAATAAATAAATAACACTCCTTCCCCAGTCCTGAGGTTCTCCACCGCAGAGCCAACAGTGATATTTTCTAGAAGTAGCGATGATGTCACTTCAACTGGTGGTAAAGGAACAGCTTCCATTTATTCCTCTAGACACAGTATCATCTCTTTCCCCCGCCGGCTTCTACATTTAACGGTCCTTACGCATCAACTCAGTGACTTAAAAAATATATATATATGTTTTAAACTCAATTTGAATCTTGGCTTGGAAATTTGCAAATCAGCCGAAACCCGTTTGGCTCAGTGGATAGAGCGTCGGTCTGCGGACTGAAAGGTTCCAGGTTTGATTCCAGTCAAGGGCATGTACCTTGGCTGCGGGCACATCCCCGGTAGGGAGTGTGCGGGAGGCAGCTGGTCGATGTTTCTCTCTCATCAACGTTTCTATCTCTCTCTCCCTCTTCCTTCCTCTCTTTAAAAAAATCAATAAAATATATATTTTTAAAAATCCGCTAATCAACAATTGAATATTCCTTATTAGTGCTCTTCTTGCAGCTCCTTCTATTATAATCAGTGGAATCATATTGAAAATGTTGACCTTTGATAATGAATAATAATTATTATTATAAATCTAAAAAAAACCATTTTTTTAATCATTACACAGAAAACGGGGCAGGGGATGTGGATAAAGTTTCCCTTTAAAAAGAACAGAGGGGACATAGTCCCTGGCAATCCGGTGATGACAAAAACCTCAGGCCTGCAGGAGGACAGTGAGAGGGAACAGGTGCGTCCCGTGGAGCTCAGCGCCGGGACTTCTCCAAAGCGGGGCGCGGAGGCGGGTGCGCGGAGCCGCCCCGCCCCGCCCCACCCACCGGGCCCCGCAGCAGCTCCGCGCACCCGCCTGGCCATCGCCCGGGCTCGCAATAGGCAGAACTGTACCTGACTCACGGATATGGGTTCCTCGGCTCCGCCGCGGTCATCCGCGGACTTGGGCACCTCCAGGCGGTCGATGAAGGTCTGCAGCTCCTTGCGGAAGGCCTTCATCTGCGCGTTGATGCGGTAGAGCAGCTCGTGCTCGCGGATGCGGCTGCCGTCGTCCTCCTCGTCCATCAGGCCGAACAGGTCCCCGTTGGCCACGTAGATGCGCGCCTCGGTGATGATGGTGCTGGTGTCGGCGATGAGCCGGTCGATGGTCTTGCCCAGGCGCTCGGCCTCGGAGCGGATGTCCTTCATGTGCTGCCGGTCGGAGGAGAAGCTCTTGGGCCAGGGCCCCGGCGGCGCGGGGTAGAAGGAGCGGGTGGGCGTGAGGCAGCGGATGCTGCGCGCCTCCTCCGGGTCGCTCTCGCCGCCGATCGGGCCCTCGCGCTTGCGGTGCGGCGGCCGCGAGTCGTCGTCGCTGCCCTCCTTCTTGCCCGCGTCGCTCTCGGCGTCGCTGTCGCGGGGGCTGCCGCGGATGCCCAGGTGCGAGGCCAGGTCGTAGCGCTGCATGTTGGACATGAGCACGCGGTTCTCGTACTGCAGCTGCATCACCTTGCCGCTCAGCTCGTTGATCTGCAGGCGCGCCGCCTTCAGCTCCTCCTGCAGCGCCTCGGTCTTGGCGCTGTCGTGGTGCCGCGCGTTGTCGTGGCCGCCGCCGGACTTGAACTTGTACTTGTTGAGCTCGACCGTGATGCGCTTGTTCTGCTCCTCCAGGTCGGCCACGTTCCTCCGCAGCAGCTCCGTCTCGTCCTCCACCAGCTGCAGGTGCTGCCGCAGCTCCGACAGGGACTCGCTCTGCTCCCGCATGAGCGGGTTGGCTCCCGAGCCCTTGAAGTCTTCGCCCCGCAGGTCGTCCAGCTCTGCCTTGAGGCCTCGGTTCTCCACCTCCAGCTCCACGATCTTCCGGCCCAGGATGTTGGCTTCCTCCTCCACCAGCCGCAGCCGGAGCTTGAGCTCGGCCTCCCTGGTGCTGGGAGGGCCCCCGGCTTCGCCTTTGGGCAGGGGGCTGTCCAGGTCCCCGTAAAAGGATCTGTACTTCTGCAGCTCGTGCTCAAACCGGTCCTTCTCTTTATCGATCTTGGCCATTTTCTTCCTCATCAGAGCGGCTTCTTCTTTCACGAACTGCAGCTGGCATTTCAAATCTTCATTGTCCTCCTCGTTTGGGAAAAGAGAGAAAAAAAGAGCATGGGAGACCATGTTTACGTAAATCAAGAAAACAACCGGAAAAAAGGACACCTGCATAAACGTTAACATGAGAAATACAAGAGGACTTGAATGAAAAGAAAAGAAACTGCTGACTAGAGCTGACTTAAGATTTTAGATCAAGCATCTTCCCCCTGAATAAGGCGGGGAAGAGGAATCATGGCGACATGGGGGATGGTTCACAGCAAAATACCTAGTGTGAGGTAGCTGACGTTATGCCAAAGACAGTGAGAAAGCTGTAGCGACAGAGCATTTTGAACTTATCAAGGAAACTGAGAAAAATGTACAAAATGGAGTAATGATTTTGGTATAAGACTGGTCTATAAATATTCTTGTGCAAGTACCCATAGAAAAATTAACCATGAACAGAATAGGTAGAGAATGGAAAGAGAGAAAACAGACATTTAATATGTTATGCTTTTTAAAAATATTATCAAGCCGAGACAGGTTTGGCTCAGTGGATAGAGCGTCGGCCTGCGAACTGAAAGGTCCTGGGTTCGATTTCGGTCAAGGGCATGTACCTTGGTTGCGGGCACATCCCCAGTAGGAGGTGCACAAGAGGTAGTTGATCAATGATTCTCTCTCATCAAGGTTTCTAACTCTCTATCCCTGTCTCTTCCTCTCTGTGAAAAATCAATAAAATATATTTTAAAAAAATAAAATAAAAATATTATCAACATCAACTTTTTTCAATTTTTGTATATTTATTTATTTTTTAATAAATCTTTATTGTTCAGATTATTACAATTGTTCCTCTTCCCCCTCACCCCCCCCAAAGCTTCCCTCCACCTGGTTCCCACCCCCATGCTCTGTCCTTACCCCCCACCCCCACTAAATATTGCTTAAGTTAGTTTCTACCTAATAAGAAAGCCCCATGAAATAATTTTTTTAAAAAAAAGCATGCTATAGTACTCCATATTCCAACATATGCATCTAGCCAGGTGTTCTTGGGGAGCCATTATCATCACTTCTGCCTCCAAATATTTCCTCTTCTGTTTTAAAATCTCCTTCCTTACATCTCTCAGTACCTTCTGCTCACCCTGAAAGCAGAACTAATCATTACTGTGGCCGTGTTTCTAAGGTTCTCAACAAGCCCAAGTTGAATCCATCTTTGAAATGTTATTTTTATTCTTCTGCCTTTTTTTTTTTTTTTTTTTTTTTTGCTTCCCTAATCACTAGTACAGCAAAATACTTCAGGACTCTAAAGCCATCACAAGCAACTCTCCTCTGCCATCCCTTCCTGCCACATTGCTTTCCTTATTCTCCCTGATACCACAGGGACAGCTATTCTCCTGGCCTTATTAATTATGAGCGGACAAGATTAGCACCATGGGTACAGTTCTCAAATATTGGAACACAGAAAGTACTAATGACATTTTGCCATGTGGAAATGCGATAATAACAGGAATGTTAGTGCTTGCTTTGTAGGTGAAGATACTGAATGTTTTGGACTGCCTGTATCTATAGCTACATAATTGATATGGACAACTTAACATTGTTTTACAGGAGTATGTCTGGCTGTTATGTCTACTTACAGAAGTAGCTTATATATGCATCTAGAGGTGCTTGATGTATTGTTGAAATTTCATTTCTACATACCTCTGTGGGAGTCTGTTGAGTCTTTTTTTCAGATTTCGGTAAATCTTTGCTTCCTCTTCTTTTTAAGGAGAGCTGAAACAAAGCATGAATATATTTGTTAGCTAGACTATAGTTTTAATTCCATTTTATATTTTTAATGAACTCATGTGATATGACAAAACCAAGCCAAATGACGTGTCAGATCAAAAATCATAAAGGAGAACAATAACCCAAGTCAGATAGATTTAGGTATATTTTTACTCTGGACTGAGATGCACATTACAGTAGAAAAGGAGCTGGCCATGATTTAATTAATTGAAAAAAATGTAGGAAACCTGCTGTGAAAATGCAGAAAAATAACTTGCACAAAATGTAGATCGATGACTCAATATGCTAGATATTTCAAATGAAAGCAGATTCTCATTAGCATTCTACATTATTGAAGAAGAAAAAAGGAATACGTTGGGGTTTGGTTGTTATAAGTTTGTAAAGGCAAACTTTCAGTAGATTTATGTAGAATTTGAAGGATTTCTTTCCTGACCACAAAGCCATGCAAACACACACGATACAATATACACATACGCAGCTGGGTAACAACAGGGAATGGTAGGGGTTGTAGCCAAGAGAGCACACTCGATGTAAAAGAGCAGACAAAGTGGGAATTCGCTTCAGCTGACAGGTGTCATACAGAAATGGGCTCTTCCAAGAGAAGCTGGAAATCTGGAAAATTATGTAAATATCTCCCACATGTTATTGGTTGGTCCTAATGAAATTAAAAGACAGTTTGTATGTTAAATGTCTGGCGCCAAGTCATTTTATGGGCTAACAGTCCATGGCCTCTGGAGATCAGTTCTATTTCTAAGCACCAATATCACAAGGAGGGCCTCTCTGTATAAATAATCCATGTGTATAAATATCTAGCATATACCAGACATTGAGCTGGAGACTCAAAAATCAATCAGATAATGCATCTACCATGAGGGCCCCCAATTTAGCATGGGAGACAAGGAAACCATCAATGACAAGACAAGCTGTTACAGGCCATCCTTTAGGCTCTGTGAAGCAAGAACTTTGACTGATGTGGCATCACAACAACAATACTTGCCACATGATAAAGGGTGGGGAAATTTTGTTGAACTAATGAGTGAATATAAAATAGGAGTTTCTGAGATAAAAGAGGAGGATGGGAGCAGAAATGTGTCTTCTCAAAAGAGGAGTCTTGAATTTGCGAAGAACTGCAGATGAAATTGTTCATGTTAATTTCTAACCCATATCCAGTATTAAATGCAGGCATATGGTCAGGCACAGAAGGAACAGAAGCACATCACCACAGTTCTATCATTCAGTATGAAACGGAAACTACACAACCAAATGAGTGGTCCATGTGCTTCTGTTTAGTTCCTACAGAAAAATGTTTTCTGTGTTGCTTGAAGCAAAAGCTGTGGGACTGACTCACCAAAACCAAAAGTAATTTAGGAACCAATCAGCAAAAACAGTCCCAGGAAAACCAAGACTAGAGCAAGCTGTACTAGGGAATCCTGGAACATTCTGGGTAGCGGCTACTTGAATGCATTTTATTTCTTATTTATTGAGTGCTTTTACTTTGAATTTATTCCATTATAAATTCAGCATTAACTAATGCACTTCATGAAGTACCTATGATAAAACAATAAGAAAATGGATGTAGTCTCTGCTTTTCATCATAGTGTGATGAAAGCAATGATAAAAAAGAAACAATATTAACTGACATTGACTGAATACTAATTCATGTCAAACACAACTAATTTTTTTTTAAACTATAGTTTTATTGATGTCAGAGAGGAAGAGAGAGAGAGAGAGATGGAAACATCCATGATGAGAGAGAATCATGGATCGGCTACCTCCTACAAGCCCCACATTGGGGATCAAGCCCACAACTTGGGCATGTGCCCTTGACCAGAAATCGAATCGTGACCTCCTGGTTCACATGTCAATGCTCAACCACTGAGTCTCGCTGGTCCCGAGATGACAACTAATTCTTAAAACACTGCAGTTAGCCTTGTTTTGCATATGGCAAACTAAAGCTTGAGGAATTATCTAAGGCAGGAATATCAGCAGTGTCACTTGGTAACTCATTATAAATGCACATTTTCAGGACCAATCCCAGAACTACTGAATCAGAAACTCTGGAGATGGGGCCCATTGGGCTATGAATTACAAACTCTCTGGGTGATTCTGATGCACGTTTGTGAAGTACTTGGTCTAAAGTCCCTGCTCAGTAAGAAGCAAACTCATGTCTAGACCCAAGTCTTTCTATTCTTTATTAATATCTATCAGATCACAAAAGAGAAAGGCTTAATCCCATCCCAGGCTGGAGATGGTACAGGGAACTAAAGATGATTTCCAGGAAAAAAAAGTAACATCTTGATGGTAGATGAGGAGTTAGACAGTAGAAGATGGACAGGGGAGGAATGGAACATGCATTCCATGTAGAGAGACCATTTCTGGGACACAAAGAAATTCGGTATGGCTGTAACATAGTGTGAGGAAGGGAGTGACGTGGGACTTGGCATAAGTCAATCTTAAAGGACACTGAATAAAGTTTGGGTTTCCTCTCACCAAGGTCAAATTATTGCTCTAAGGTCAATTAGTAGTATTAAAGGGTTTTTAGTAAGAGGTGTCCATTTCCAACTGTCCTAGAAGAATACAAAGCCACAAAGGTGGCAATTCAAATGGCCCTGAGGTAAAGGGATGGCATGCAAAGGAAATGAAGAAAAGCATGCGCTAGTTCTGAGAACTTTTATTTTTCCTGGTCTTTGTGTTTCACTAATTTCACAGATACTGTTGAGTTCTGCATATATATGTTACCCTATGGCACACAAATATGGCTAAGAAATATTTTACTCTCTCCCCCAAAAGCTAATTGTCTATGATGATAAAAAAAAAAGGGTGCAGATCAACAGCTAAAACACAAAACAGAATTAACCAAGGGCATGAAATGAAGAACAAAGAATTGAGAGAGCAAAGAAGCATCTCTAATTCTCGATCGGGGGAAATCAGAAAAAACCACCCAGGAGAGCTTATTTTTGAAGAGTGTGCAAAATTTCAATAGAAATAAAAGCAAATAAACAGCAGAAGCAAAGACTCGGGGAATGAATGTCTTACAGACTTACTGACCCCTGAAAAGATATAATGGAAGTAGAGACACTTTAGAGATGAGGTAGAAGACGACACTGAAAGGATCGAGGTCGGCTTGTGGAGCTGAGCAATTTAGGCTATCCTGTGGGCAATGTTAAAATGAGGCCTCTGAATTAATATAGGAGAAACGCTAAAACTAGGCCATTCTTTCCTAGAGGCATTTTTCTACTTCACCTTTATTTAAATTTCACTCAGGTGGGGTGCCAAACTCAGATAAAGCTCTGAAATAGTTTACTGCCTTTAAGGTGCCTCAAGGACTATAAGTACCTTTAAGTGTCACATTTAAATTTTTAATAAATATTTAATCATCTTTTCATATTCCAGTGAGTTTTTATTAAATTTCTGACTCTAATAAAACAAAGATGCAAGATTCATTTGGGTAGAGAAAGTTGGAGAAACAGGCCCTTTCCTGTGAGGATAACATTTCCTCACCTCCCTCCTTGTCATCCTGCCCCACCTCCATCTACGGTGTAGAAGACACCTCGATAAGGGGAGCAGTCTGGGATGCTAGAACTAAATCTCAGATTTTCATCTTTGTTTGTGAAGTAGGCACTTCAGATGCTTCTCTGGAGAAAAGTGCTGAAAACATGCTTTGTCCACATCTTAATTCTTTGCATTCCCAGCCTCAACTTGTCCACAGAGGCTGCTATTCTCTTTATCCACATGAAAGCAAAGAATTAGAGAGTTCTGCCAAAAATTATGTTTGCACAGCAATCACATAAAATGGATTGTTTGTGTGCTAAAAATGTTTTGATTCTGCCTTTCTTCCTCAATTGAAATTTGGACCACTTCTTAATAAGCAGCATGTTTACATTTTCAACAATTAAACAGCAGAGAAGAATCTGTCACAAATGCTGCTGAAAGACACATTATGCACATAAAATTCTTTTATGTTTTTGGTGATATTAGAGAGAAATCCCTTTGTATGATGATTAAATCAAGAAGAAAACTGTATGCTAAAACCGGTTTGGCTTAGTGGATAGAGCATCAGCCTGCAGACTGAAAGGTCTCAGGTTCCATTCCAGTCAAGGGCATGTGCCTTGGTTGCGGGCACATCCCCAGTGGGGGGGTGTGCAAGAGGCGGCTGATCGATATTTCTCTCTCATCGATGTTTCTAAGTTTCTATCCCTCTTCCTTCTTCTCTGTAAAAAATCAATAATATATATATATATATATATATATATATATATATATATATATATATATATATATAAAATAAATAAAGAAAGAAAGAAAGAAAGAAAACTATAACTGTATATATCTAGAATTGATTGAGCACTAAATATTGTACCAAGTAAGATTAAATGAGTGAATAAGTATTAGCTTCTCAGAAAAGTGCATGACACATTTTTTTAAAAAACATTATTTTTATTGGTTTCAGAGAGTAAGGAAGAAGGAGAGAGAGATAGAAATATCAATGATGAGAGAATCATTGACTGGCTGCCCCCTGCATGCCCCACATTAGGAATTGAGCCCACAAGTCAGATATGTGCCTGACTAGGAATTGAACCGTGACCTCCTGGTTCATAGGTCAAAGCTCAACCACTAAGCCATGCCTGCAGACTGAAGGGTCAAGGGTTCAATTCCGGTCAAGGGCATGTACCTGGGTTGCAGGCTCAACCCCCAGCCCCAACTGGAGTGTGTGTGGGAAGCAACCAATCAATATGTCTCTCTCACACCAATGTTTTTCTCTCTGTGTCTCTCCCCTTCCCTTCCACTCTTTCTCAAAATCAGTGGAAAAATACCCTCAGTTGAGGATTAACAACAACAACAAAAAAGAAAAGGTAAGGCTAAGTCATGATCTTGAGGGTGATTGTGTCATTCTTCTGCCATTTTCCATTTCACTCCGGGTCACAGTCCTGCTGTACTAAGGCACAGGAGACCTCAGCTTCACACCGAATCCATCCTGCTAATGT